GATACATAAAAATGAAAAAACTTTAATAGTTAATATTAAATATATATATAAAGATGAGATTACCTGTAGACGTTCATATATTTCATATTTATATTTGACGAAATATTTTGTGTAATATATAACGTTTATATATGTTTAAACACTTATGCCAAAAACCTTTGCAGAATGGAAAATATGAATACGATGCGAGTAAGGGCTAGCGCGTACACCAGAAGAGACGCGCAGGGGCATCACCCGGCTCCTGTGAGAAATGGGTCAGGGTTGTCACATCATCCCGTATGGATCGACGTAAGAAGCGAAAGAAAAGATGGATTGTGTGAAAGATGATATGAATAAAAGAAGAGTATGTTCAGATATGACGACCGATAGAGAGCAGTGGAAGTGAATGACATACTGCGCCGACCCCAAATAATGGGATAAAGGCAAGGCAATGATGATGATGATGATAGAACATTTATATATAGGTACTAGCTTTTTTTATCCCTTATTAAATCAGGGACTTTTGTTCGTTTATGGTACGTAAGTCCCATCGTATCTTAATCTTCGATATAAACAAAAATCACGTTTTTAATTAACATAACAAAAGAAAAGGAAGTCCAGACCAAAAGCACTTGAAACCTACTTCTAATTAAATCACCCACCAACCTCGTTAGATACTAGCAATTACCCGCGATTTTGTTTACTTTCCAAGATTAACAAATAGTAATTAATGTAATTAAACTAATTTTTACACGAATAATTTTATGGTAAATAAAGGTATTTATCTCTTTCGATGTACCTTTATTTATCTTTTTACTTTTTCACTCAGTCAGGTCATGATGAAGACAAGTACAACCTAGTCTAAACATGGTGAGAGACCTTTATTAACCTTAAAATTATTTATGTTAAAATCTGTTTAATTATATTAATAATGAGTACTAAACTCGATAGTGTAAAATAAAGTAATAATAATAATAATCATTTATTCAGCATAAAAAAGAGTACAGAGTAAAAAAGGTTAAATTTAAAAATTAATAATCGTCTATGCTGAAAAGGCTTCCACTCAGCTGGTGCCGCAGCGTATCACTACAGCGCTGATTTTCAGTGGAGCCACCTGAAAAAAAGAAATAGCATTCGTGATGAATTTAAATATCTAAAATGAATTAGTTAAATGGATGAATTCTAAGTATGTGTGATAAATAGAAGAAAAATATATAAGGATAAAAAAGTATAGCTTAAGCCGCTTAGTCATAACAATGTAACAAATAGACAGACAAACAAACATATTTTAGCATTTATAATATTAGTATAGATGTGTCTTTTATATACATTTTTATTCCTCTCTCCTTAAAGGAGAGTCCATCAGAAATACAAATTGCCCCTCAATATTTTTAGTGTCACTCGGATTCGAACTGACTTACTCTGTGGTTTATAGTCTGACTAATAAAACCACTAAGCCAGGCTTTCGATTTAATTATAGGAAATTAATAATTATCTGTACGTATGTATATTATGGTACCAGTTACCTGACAGGTTGTGATATAATGGCAGAAATAAACCTCAGCCATCTGAAGCGTAACTAGTCAGTGAGCCAACTCAACTGCAACCATATTAAGACCCTTCCGGGAACACACGTTTACTTTGCTTTGAGTCTTAACACGAATAATTTTATGGCAAATAAAGGTATTTACCTCTCTCGACGTTTGAACTTTTTATTTTTATAAAAATTGTATATTAAACGCGAATGTTTAAAAGTAACTATTCAAACTCAAATTCAAAAATTATTAATTCATGTAGGACATTTTAGCCGCTTATGAACGTCGATTTTTTTATATTATAATTCTTTTCCCTACCGTCAAAGTAATCGTCTGTAGTGGTATGGGCATGTAATGTGTAGGAATGAAGATAATATTTTAAGAAAGGTGTTACATATGTACGTGGATTTTTATATTTTATGAAATGTCATATTTCAATATGTAATTAGAAAAAGGCAGTTAGTCTTTATTTTTGTGTAAAATGTGTCAATTCAATTCAATTCAATTCAAAATATCTTTATTCATGTAGGTCTATTACAGACTTTTATGATATGTCAAATCTACCGTCAGTTCGGAATGATATCGAGATGAGAAGAACTGACAAGAAACTCAGCTCGTATCTTTTTCAAATAATAGTGGAACATGTTTACAATAAATATAGTTTTTAAAATTCAAATTTGGGAGAATAGAGTGATCAGCAGCATATGCTATCGCGAATAACAAAAAATTTAATCAGTGTTCACAACCTGAACAGACCAGTCATTCACGAGTATGACGTATGAACCAGCCATCATTGTACTCAACCATATTAAAGGGAACACATCGACCCGCCCCACCACACCGCCACAAGTTTGAACTTTAAAAATTATTTATTATATTATTTACAGTAGGACATTTTAGTCATTACAAATTATAAAAAAATCATTTATAATAAGTTTCTTTAATGTTATTACATTATCCATGTCAATGGGAAAAATTATATGCCTCATAACAAAAGTTAAAATTATAATTGAGTCCACACATTGTAGTCATTTAAGTAGTCGTTTATTTTATAATAAGCTTTAGAGCAAAGTGTTTTTTTTACATGTATCTTAAATTTGCGTTTAAAACAATCTGGCAATTTATTATAAAAACGTCAATGTCCCATGAAAGATGTACTTACTTTTTTGAGACGATAACTGGCATATTTAATTTATTTTTATTCCTTGTATTATAAGTGTAAGGACTATTTTTTGAAATAAATTTAAGTTTTTGCGTACGTAATATATTTAAGATATATATATTGACAGTGAATACCTGTTTCTTTAAAGCGTTCTCTAAGAGATTCGCGACACAGTAAATTATATATTGAACGAATGGTAATATAAAAATTGATTCTATTTTACAATATGAAATGTCATAAAATACACTCGCTGTTGCAGTATCATGTAGTTTTTCTGATAAAAAGGTAGTTAGTGTTTATTTATATGTGTATCAACAAAGTCCAAAACATGATGATTCATACTAACAGTTGTCAGTAAAAAAAACTATCTAAGACACAATAACCCTGTATTTATTAATACGTAAACTTTATTAACTTTGTGTGTATGCGTTTTAAATAAACACCACACAATATTTCTGAGTAACCTATACAAATAAACAAATAATATTAATTTTCAATAGTATCACAACCCTATATAAAAATTACAAAACGCTAGCAATATAGATAATGTCAAAATTGACTCCTGGATTGATTGAAATAGACTATAGAAAATTGTCACTGATCATGAGATATACCCGTATTCAATTGCAAGCAATCCTTGTAAAATTGATAGAAACTCAATAGAATGTAGATAGCCAGAAAATACCATCAACTTTCATCATAATGTCACTAAATAATCATCTGCTTCTTCTGCTATCCCATTTATTTACTGTCGGCGTAATGTTTTTCTTTCATTCAACCCTGTTTGCAATCATCTTGCCATTGACTCCATTTCTCACCATATAATCTTTCACCTATCTCTTTTTCGGCTTTCCTCTGCCCTTATAACCATTCACATTCATATGTAACACCTTCCTTAAAATATTATCTTCATTCCTACCCATTACATGCCCATACCACAATAGACGATTACTCTTTAACCTCTCCGACACCGGCGCCACTTTTATGTTTCCTCTAACGTGTTTATTCTTTATCTTATCCATTCTTGTCACACCACACATCCATCTCAACATTCGCATTTCAGTTGCATGCAGTCGTCTTCATCCGTCGCCTATACGTGCCAGCAGGACGACAGAAGACAGCAGGCCGGATCATGTATTAAGTACGAGTATTAAGTTAAGCGGTTTTGCTGCAGACAAACTGCTGAGCAGTTTTGCGGCTTATTGTTTTTATATTACGTTGTATAAATTTGTGTGTAAATAAAAAAAAAAATGGTCTTGTACAAGAGGTTCGATAAAGAGATGAATCTCGTTTTCGGCCTTCCTCTGCCCTTTAAACATTACATTCATATGTAATGACTAAATAATAATAGGTGTTATATACAGCTTCCACGTAGCTGGTAAGTTCAACACACTACTTTATTCCCTGGTCTTCGAAGCATGGTGGGCAGCAGAGCTCGACCGTAGCACATTAGAGGGACCAGCCGGCTGTAACAGGCGGTACTGCACCACTGTATATAGACTTTTATATGTTTAGACTTGATAACTTTTTATTTATATTATCAGTTCGAAAAAGTATTTTGAATTTAGAATAGTTCCCCCAGTGTTACCCGATTTATTTTTGACACTTTGCTCCTAAGATTGGGCTCTATTAATGTAATAATTTGGAATTATTCAGTGATAGTGTAAAAAACAATGATCAAACAATGATCAAATCAGTGATCTACCGCTTTAATTCAGATGATGTCGATGCCCCAGGGTCGATTCCTCGCACTATAGAAACATTTGTATTCATAAGTATGATTGTTTGTATCGATCTGGGTGTTTTCTATATATTGTATGCATTTAGACTAGATGTCATTGTGTGAATTGTTCTAGACTATTGTTATTATTATCAAAAAGATAACGAGATACTATTTTTTCCTACAATACCATAGATAAGGTAAAGAAAAATTCAATAACTTTTTTAATCAAAACATTTTTGATAATGTTGGCCCATTACAAACACTTATATACGTCAAATCTACAATTTACAAATAATTTAAACAAAAAATATATAAAATCCATATTTTTATTTAAATTATTCGCATAAATGTAGTAGCCAGTATATAAGCAGTTTTTAAACAAGTAAGTAGGTATATTTTACCAAACATGTCACAGCAGCAATCACGGTAATAAAATGAAGTGGTAGTATTTACACTACCATAGGTTGTGCAAACAAGTCCGCCTCTGTTTTTTCTCAGGTCTACGTCACAATTCTGACTTGAGGCTACGAAAGCGAATCTCCGTGTCCCAATGTACGCACAGTTCAGTGTAATTCGTGCGCTCAAGCCTTTATGTGCTCTACCGTCTATTGTGTTCCTACTATGATACTCGACTTATTATAATTGGCAATATAAAAAAAAGTAATTGTGTTCTTAATTCAAAATAATGTAATCATAGATTACTTAACTTTTTAATTCGCGAGTGTCTGTGCTTACCGTGTTCTATATTTAAAATGCGTATGTAATCTGCAAGTGTATCACGTAATGTGGGTCAGGTGTGATCAGTCATAAATAAAAAATATTCTCTATTGTATTAATTAATCTACATTTTATCATATTTTTTTCAAATTTGGAATATTTGAGCATCATTTCGTGTGATGAATCGTGTACCGTTATATTGATGTACTTACATTGCGTGTCATTACATTTCACGAGGCCTGACTTTGTTTTTATGTCATTACTGCGTTCGACTTTATTTATTTTTTTGATTAGTTTTATAATATTTAAATATCATTATGGAGTAGAAAGAATAGAAAATCATTTATTCAAAACTAAACTTACATTGAAACACTTTTGAATAGTCATCACATTTTTTTCGCTCATCCGGAAAGCTGTCTTATCACGAGAAGAATGAGCAAGAAACTTGCGTGTTGTTCTTTTTAATAATTCTACTGTTAGGTTAGGTTTTGTTCCATTTTAAGTTAAAGTCTGTTTGTATTCGACAAACTACCAACTAGCACTAATTTAATTTCATACTCTAATAGAAAAAATCTTAAATATACAACCAACTGGTAGAGTAACTAAATAAGAGTAAATCAGTCATAGTGATTAGAGCAGACCAGTTCTTATAAGCAGCACTCGTTCACGAGTATGACGGATGAGCCAGCCATCACTGACCATATTGTGAACATTATTTGACTATACACAATATACACTCCACATGTAATTAACATGAACGTGTCTATTTTATAGAGGCATATAAAATAAATTACCTACTACCGTATAAAAAATATGTTTTTTGTTCACATTGCAATAACTAAATTTATACATTAGATATATAATAAACATACTGTTTATTATATATTAGGATCAATTTAACATTTCTTCGGTTGATATTAAATGTCAAATTAGTCATAGTTATAGAATAATTTTGAATAAATATAATCTTTATTCAAAACAACATACATATTGATAGTCATTATATTTCTCCCGCCATATTCACAATGTAGATTCAGAGATAGAAAACATCGTAGTCTATTATGATGTTAAGGATTATCTCTTTTTGCAATAAATCTGTCCAGTGGTTTGGGCTGTGCGTTGATAGATCACTATGTCAGTCACCTTTGAGTTATATATATTTAGATATATATGAGTTGTTATAATGAAAGAGATAGAATTCTTTTTTGACATACAGTTCCAACTAAGAAATTGAACAACCTGTATGTCCCAAAAAAAAAAGAATCTGTATCTCGCACCTGTATCAGCTCTGTTACGAGAGAACTAAGACCATACTCAAAACCAGCGACCCGTCCAGCCTTCGAACATGAAGCATGACAAATCTTTGAATTTCTCGACTTGTTCTATACTTTAACACACATGTATTATACATATAAACCTTCCTCTTGAATCACTCTATCTATTGCTGAAAACTGCATTAAATCCGTTGCATACTTTAAAAGATATAAGCGAACAGAAAGCGACGGCGAATTTGTTTTATACTAAAAACTAGCTACTCGCCCCGGCTCGCATGGATGTACATGTATTATATATATAAACCTTCCTCTTGAATCACTCTATCTATTAAAAAGATAATATATTATAGATTTTACATAGGGACGGGCAGGCAGCGACAGCGACTTTGTTTTATACTATGTAATGATAAAGAAAATGTTTCAATATAAATATTATTTATAATGTTTCAATAAATAATGTTCTCTATTGATTGTTTAAATATTTTTTTGCTTATATATATGAAATTTAATCATGAAGTAATATGAGTAAATATATGTATTCAGAAAATCCACTTTTTAAGTCGTTTACTAAATAATTTACGATTGTATTCTTTAAAATATAATTCAACAATTTAATTAACGGTTTAACAATGTTATATAACGTGGCCACGTTATTAAAGAAACGAATAAGTACCATATAAAAATAAACCCGAAACGTGTGAAAAAAATTCAATTCACTCGAACATCTTACCACATAATAATAATAGAGTATATAACTGTTTCTCGACCACAGACGACTACTACGTGATTTTATAAGCTATAACACTTTTCCCATGCTGGTAGAGAGAGTTGTAGCTATACTAGTTTAGGTACACGACTTTAACTGCGTGACCACAAATGTTCTAGAGCCAATATCCTTCTCTATTAGACAGTAGCGATAATAAATAATGAAAAAAAATTACGATCTTAAGCGGCTAAATGTCCTACTTGAATAAATATTTTTGATAGTTTTTATTTTGATTTGATTTTTTCTGCTAGATTTATTTGATGTATAAAGGCTATGTATGATTAGTATGATTTAGTTGTATACAATTCTGTATGAAACTTTTATTTTTTAAGCTAGAACGATGACACCTTTTTGCTGGGTTAGATTACTAAATATTTTTTCATTATTTGGTCAAGGTCACTATTTTACGCGGACGAAGTCGCGATTACAGCTAGTCTACTATAAATCTTTTTAAAAAGTTTAGGGTTCCTTAAGACGTGTCTTAACTTAATTGATCAGACAGTCCTCTTCATCGATATCATTCATTCATAAGGCTGAAAAAACAGCATCTGCCATGTCAAATCAAATCAAAACAAAATATCTTTATTCATGTAGATCTATTACAGACTCTAATGATAAATATGATAATATTCCTGGAGTGTGGCAGTGAGCTCCTGACATACCCAAATCCTTAGTGAGGTCTGCTTCGAGAAGCATGCGAAGATACAAGGTATCTGCTCTGAGATATTAGCTTCTTCACCTTCTGCGCTTCTAGAAGGTGCTTGGCCTATTGTTATGCTTATTAAACACCTCCGATCGATCTCCCGTCCAATTCAAAGGAGTACCAAAATTACGACTTGAGCCGAGATTTGAACCCTAGTGGTGCTCTCAGACTAAAGACGTATCCGTCAGGCAGGAGTTGGCCTTCAGCCGCTCCATAAGTCTTTCCGCGGGTTTGGAGTGCCAACTGCAGCCACCGTACACACATATTACTTTTACTAGGTAGTTTTAGATATTTTATCTTAGCAAATTGTCTGTACTTTTAGACTTAAAATTTTTACAAGATAATTCGTATTCTGGTTTCTACAGGACAGGCCCAGCCTAGTGGAGGATCAATGCTATTGTGATTATACGAAATAATTTTGGTAAATAAATAAATAATTATTATTTTTAAGTGTTGAGGGTCTTGTTTATCACATTAGAGGTGTTGTGTTTCCACCATTGTTTAATTAAACGGTTAATTATCTATTCTTGAGGCCATTGTCGGCGACCAACAGTCTGTGCTTCCGTTGCATTTCTACTAAACTCTGTGAAGGGCGTTGACTCTACAAATAAATCTCATTTTGTCGTCTCCGAACTATTGTGAAATGTGTATGGTACTATGTTCAAGTAAGAGGAGTTTTATGACAATATTATTAAAGTTCAATATTAAGAATTTTTTTTATTGATAGAGCTTTGCATTTCTACCTTTTCTTCTAGAATGAATGATATTCATAATTTAAGAGCGACGCTCTTGTCGGTGGAGCTTTTGCCACTTTCCATAATCTTCCATCATATTCTATAAACGTTGATATGATACAAGTTTTATTCTGTCTTTAATATGCTTTATGTAGCTGTCTCTTCCCCTCTCCCTCTTTCTTTCTATTTTTTCCTCAACAATATTTTTTTATTCCTGAATATGTATTTTTTTTTAAATATTGTTGTTCTACTCAGAGACTAGTGCTTGTTAAGTTCAGTTATTACATTCATAAAAATCAAAATTTTAGTTCTTATAATAGCTTAATATATTAACAAACCTTTCGTAAGAACTTTCATTTTTTTGTTCTACTATTACATTCGGAATGCAGAATTAGTCAACTAGAGTAGGCAAGAATTTTGGGGTAGCGCCGTTGTCAAACATTTTGCAATATTTGAAAAATATTTAAGATTTTTAAGTATAATTACGCATACTAATGGTATCTGGTAAGGTAGACAAGGCAAGGCACTTTTTAGGTTATTATTTTACTGATTTAGCGACTTTATTTTCAGATATAAAACCAGACTCTAAATGATGGATGTCGGTTTTGTATTTATAGATTTACAAAATAACAATAACAAAAACCTATATGGCTTTATTAGGTAATTTATTATATTAACTAAATAGGAAGTAGGCGTGTTCATTTGAATTGCAAACGGTTGTGACTCAGAACTGTGCACCAGACCTTCTTGGTAGAGTCATTGAAGATATATATATATATAATATGCAGATGCAATTTTTGTAAACAAAATACTTTTTATGAGGAGAGTGGCGTGAGTATGCAATGATGAAATGGTTAAAAACAAAACTTATTTTCTATAATGTTCTGTAATTAACAAAATGGCTCACAATGGTGCAAGTATTGTAGGGATCTTATATTTAATTGTATATGAATTGTAGCCCATGTTAGCAACTGATAATAGCATAGTAAATATATGTATAGATATGTAGAATGAACATTAGACATCTTTCTTCTTCTAAATATTAATTTCGATAAGATTAATTATAATAATCCAGGACAATTCACATAGCATCTTATAGTCCAAAACTAAGCAGAGTTTGTATTATGAGTAGTAAATACCTTAATATATTATTCAAAAATTTGAATGAAGATTATTTTTTTTTTCAAAAATGTCCAGACCGACACAAACGATCATATTCATGAAAATAAATGCACCGTGCTAAGAATCGAAACCACGATCTATCGGAAGTAAGGCGGTGGGCAAAACCACTAGATCACCGAGGCGGACGATCGATATATTAGTAAAATTATAAAATATTTTTTTAAAAGTAACAATGTTTTACCAGCCAGTCACTTGTTCATGTTTATTTTTATTTTTTATCTCAAAAAATAAAAATAAACATGAACAAGTTATCTAATTAAATATATCTTGTCAAGTAATTCAATTGAGTTTCTTGCCAGTTCTTCTCAATTGAATCTATATGAATGAACTGGACATTAGGGAAAAAATTTGACGTTCATAAGCGGCTAAAATGTCCTACATGAATAAATGATTTTTTAACTTGAATTTAATAAAAGCT